CAAAGGTGCTATGACAGTCAAAAGTGGCAATTTTGACGCCTCCCTGTTGTCCCACTCACCAGAACTCAAGGGCAACTTCTCTCCCGTACTTCTATCAGTTTTTACAACGTGTTTTTCGTTTTTTTCTCACTGTTAGATAATGGTAGCTCATTGTTAGATAGTAATAGCATTGTATGACGACAAGAAACGACTAGAGAGCCAGAGTGAGCAGGATATCGCTTTTCCTGGGATAAAACGAGCAGGTCCAGATATCTCGACGGGAGAACTGACCGGTCCGTAATCAGGGTGTTCTCCATTATTTTTTTTGCTTTTTTTCTTTCCTTGAAAGTCCTTTCGCAACTATGGGTTTTTTTACCGAACACTATTATCCACAGTACACAACGGTTTTTCTGTGAAAGGAAGTACATACATGAGTGGAGAGGTTGAGAGTTTCATGAGCGGACAAAAGCCGCCTGACGCTGTAGGAGCGGCAAACGTTGCATTATTCCTTTTCTTATAAAGCGAATTGACCTGCTCGGAAAAGAATGGTAGATTTTACACCTCTCCACCACCAGGATTTTTAGAAAAATTTTCAACAAATATCATATGAGATGCAGTTCAATACGTAGTTCAGGACGATTCTGCACGGTACCGATTTGTGTGAATGGTGGAACGAGTTACGGAACACGAAAGCACTTCAGAGAGTCTATGCATTTGTCCGAGAGGATACACTGGACCTAACTGTCAATTCGGTAATAAGCTTTATCCGTGAAACTAATTATCCTCCCCGTCCATGAAATGCTTTCGGAAAGGCTTGTCAATGTAAATCCTAAAGAATGTGTCAAATCCATGTGAAGGTGAAGAAAAACCTAAAGAAAAGTTTTTTTTTCGAAATCTCCTGTGACTGCTCACCATTGTTGGGAAAGACTTTCTTTGGCAGCGATTCTCCGAAGCGGTCTGGGCTGTTCTCAGTAGTAGTACTTCCGGGGTTGTTGGCAACTGTACCTTATTTTGGTTTTTTATTCAGTTAGATATTGTTGTAGTTTGTAGGGTCGGTTTCAAGAGGGACGGAGAGAAATCACTAGGTGCTTCCTAACACTGGTTATTCTCTCCCTCAACTGTTCTCATACCGATCATCATTAGCAGAGCAAGGCAGCCGAAGACAGCCTTATTCCGCCCCTCCTGGCACCGACGGATCACGAGGCTTTCATAATAGTAGTAAATGTAGGAAGAGCTCGTAAACGAGACAGATCAAAAGTGAATCAAGATGGAACAAATTCCCTCGAAATGGAAGAGGAACACTTCCCTGTCGCTCCATCCACTATGTACATGCACTATGCACTATGTATGATAGAAATCAAGCGATTCCCTATCATATGAATTTCAGAAGAATGCACAAGAAGGTCACCAGTCACCTTCTCAGCCAATGCCAAGACGTTCGTACTTGTAGCTGAAGTTACAAAGCAGAGTCTTGATGCTGTCAACGGAGTAAGTGTTTATTTGGTTGAGGAAAATTTGTTTGAGAAAATTTTCATGGTTATTCTGAACCACTATGCCAATGCATTCTTGATAATCACCTGTTCAAAGCATCAACGCTGCTTACATGCTCTTGCTTCTCAAGCAGGGCCTCTCTTCTTGATTAAATGACACTGAGAAGTACAGTAATTCGTGTAAGGTCTTCAAATTGGAGAACGTGATGCCATGTGGCAATGTGATCACACTATGCGACGTGCGACGCAAAAAAAGGAGGTGGGGGGGGGGAGGAGTCGGAGAGTTTAGGAGCGATTTCAGGAAGTCATCCAGTATAAAAGGTAGGAGTCTCGTCACAGGACCTCCGCCCATACTCCGAGAGCGACCTATATTTTTGCGAAAATGTTTGAAAAAAATGGCAAAACGGGAAGACAGGTCTTCTTCAAATCTTCCGAATGATTCCCTCCATCTCACGATTTATAATAGGACTTGCAATGTGCATAGGCTTCATTTGTTTCGAGGGGACTCCAGATCCTTTTTGCCTGATGATTTCCGTGCCCTCGTGTGGAATTTCATCACAAAATCAGTTTATTTCAGCTCATTGCTCAGCTATCCAGTATCGTCAAAGGCGCCATCGCTGATCATCCCAGTTGGTTTGTGAACTACGTCCTTGTCACTTTCGATTGTGAGTATTGTAATCTGTTAGTGGTACGGATGTTTTCATAGGAAAAAACTATTTTGCTCGCTTTCACAGTAAGTGGAAACAACTTCATTCCCATAAACCCAGCCCACTCCCCCTGAGACAGCCTGCCATCCATTTAGAACGACACTGTAGACACCCTAAGCACTGAGACTGCGTTGCCACTTCCGTTTGGCTCGGAACCGCGAGGTGCTCTCGCTTCAAACAAATGCTGCATTTCTGCTGCTGCCAGGGATAATTCTCCATCAAAATACGGCTTCAAATCCGATGATTAGAGCGTTCATACATAAATATCACAGATCTGTTTATTTAAATACCAGTCGGATCGCCCGGCTAACGCCGAGCTCTCCTCCTTCTTGGAAGCCCGGCTTCGCCGGGCTCATGCAACTGCTTTAGAGCCTCACTTAACTCGTGAAAGAAAGGAGCAAAGTAAGGCATAAGCAGGGCGATACTACTGTCTTAGGCATTTATGATGCTCTCATGGTGACTAACCGGTGTCTTCTAATCAAATAAATGTAGGAACGCGCCATATAGTCGCAGGGCACTTTTATAATGAAAAGTTCAAAATCTGGTCATGGATAATCGATTACTGTCCTCCCCATCTTATGACAGCCACGGATTCTTCGGTCTCCGCAGTCGCTGCGTGCTCCTGTTCAGGCGAGCGTCGCGCCAATATGGTACCCCTTCACCTCACCTATCCCCAAACTAACCTCAGCTATTCCCCGCTCAGCCACCCTACAGGTCACACTCAGCTGCTACGCGAATAGCCCGTGCAATGGTTCTGAGTGCACTAAATGGTTGTGTTATGTTTATGTTATGTTGTGGAGGGTGTTATGACTATCAAAACGCTACCACAATTTGATAATGCAACATTAATCGGTTCAGATCCGATTGCGGTCGATCCATTTTCTTCCCATCTTGTCGCAACCGTAGACGCCTTACCGCCGCAGGGGCTATGTGCTCCTAATCGCGAAATCGCCGTTCTCATCTGGTATCCCCTCACCACATCATATCCCACTGACCCTATTCAACCGGCACCCACTCCCGCACGTGGTATGCAGCCGCCATGCAACATAGGGACACTACGCCGCCACTCTTACCACCGCCTTGCTCGTGCTCACGTCCAGCTCCCAAGCGAGCAGCTCCTGCAGTAGCACAGAGTATATCACAGTGGTTGGCTTAGATAGGGGAGAGCGATTCACAATCCAAACTTCTTAGTTCGTTGCTGTAACATGGATTAGCTTGCAGTTTTGCTAGCGGTTCTTTCCTTCTCTCTTGCCGCCTGCTCCTATTCAAGCGTACGCTACGCATCCCCTTACTGTACCCAGTTTGCCCGATTCAATCCATATGCCTCCTTCCCCTGCATGGGCTCAGATCCGACTGAGTACGCGCAAGGGAGTGAGGATGGGAGAAGGGGGTCACTCGATACTAACTCCCACCTTCCTCACCTCACCCCATTCCGTACTCGCCACTCCCCCCCCCCCACCTTGCCCCTTGCACGCGCTTACGTCCAACTGCCACGCGAGCAACCCGTGCAATGGCTCGGAGTGTAGTGGTCCTCTTATATAGTGGAAAGTGTTATCATGACCAAAACAACTTTTCAGTTCGTAACGGTAACATGGATTAGCTAGCGGTTTTCTTACCGGTTGTTTCCTCCACCTTTGCTGCTCGTTTCTACTCAAGCGCGCGCTACGCACCCCTCCCTGCACCCCTTCCGGGACCCCTCCCCTCTGCCTCCCTCCCATACATGTGCTCAGCTCCGGCTGAGCACGTGCAGGAGAGGGAGGCAGGGCGACCCGGTACCCCCACCCTGCCCCGCACGAGCACACGTCCAGCTGCCACGCCAGCAGCTCGTGCAATGGCTCGGAGTGTACCGAATGGTTGTCTTATATAGCGGAGGCTGTTATCACAATCAAATCATTGGACTGCTACATCCTCCCAGTCGGTTACCGGTTTGCCTAGCGGTCGTTTTCGCCTCCAGCGAACTCGAACCCGTGAAGTATTTTGCGGACGGACAGACAAACATACATACATACATACCTACAAACCTACATACATACAACACATACAAACCGACACACAAAGTTACTGGTTTATAGAATGAAAGGATATTCTCAAGTATATTTTAGCTACGGGCACCACGTCAACGGGTCAGTTCAGCTCAATTGACGCACTAGTGCTCAGTCTGAACTCGGCAGCAAATCGAGCAACTGATGCAGGCAGCTGTAGCCTGCCAGTTTATAAGTGCGTTACGTCTGATGTTGAGAGATCACCTGAAGCCTCTAAAAATGACAACAATCGAATGGTTCACTATTCCAGAGCCATTCAAGACGCTTTCAAAAAATCTGTGGCCTATCCGAATAGTGAGTTGTTCCTCATCACTAAGGCTGCACCCGGTGACGATGCCAATCGCCAAGGAGCTGTTGAGCTCATCAGTGATACACAAGCTCACGTAGGTTTTTACAGTGGGTTCTAAGGGAATCAGAATTTTTTAACGGGTACTATAGCCAGCTTGTGCGATATTGACATGAATATGTAGATTAGTATTACATTTTTTTATTCAACATTCTTGGACTCGGCCGTGAGGATTTCCATTTAAGTTGTCAAGGTCTAAAAGGAGGGGTAGTTGGCTCTGCTAGGGACACATCAAAGTCATCTCGTCGGAGATACGGTATTCCGCTGCCGTGTTCCAGGAGATGGATCAACTTCTTGTTATGAGCGAGAAAAATTCTGGGCGCAAGTAGCGTCACTGTGTTGAAATTTTTCGCCCATCTCGGCCCTCGCCCGCCTTCTATTGCATACTGTTCGAATCGAACGAAGTATTGCAGACTGACCTCCATCGGTGCTCATTGCTGAAAAATTCCCGTGAACAGTCCGATCCTTCCTATATTTTGTAGCTCCCGATCTTTCCTATTTTCATAGCTTCGCACCTATGTAGGGACATTTGACTCCTGCACCATGTGAAGGTTTGACTCGTGAACCATATATGAGGCAGTAGTACCCTGCTGCGGCACTTTCACTCTATTTTTATGCGAAGCCAGTGGCGATGCTTGAAACTAGTCCATGTGAGGAACTCTTAATGATTCCTCATATCTGCACTTCCTTCATGGAAATTCAGTGAGTTTCCGCCTTTCAGGTGAACTACATTTACATATCGACAACTAGTTGTGTCCCTCAAGATTCGATAATGGCTTCAGCTGCCGCTACGGCCTATGCGTCCGGAGGAAACATTGCGTTCACTGACAGTGCAAACCTCACCAACGTATGTTCTTAAATATTAACCAGAATGATCATTTTTGACTTGATAGGTTTCATAGGAGAAGCATACAGTCGCACCCCGAGGACCATAGCAGTGATAGTCTCGAAGGTCCTAGGACACTCAGGGAACGAATTTTATGCCTGTGCAATAAAAAAATTACCTCAAGTCACAAAATAGCACATCACCGGGCCAAATTATCAAGAAGCTGAAGGCCCTTCATTCTGATCGAAGGGCATAGTCGGACTCATGAGTGTGCCTCATTAGTACACCGTCCCCTCCTGACTGTTGAAGGAAGAAGCTCTCCAACGAATGTGCTATGATGCCCTTGATAAGCTCCTTGAAGTTTCTGTTCACCCTAGCGAATTTCCTACTTATATCAATCCAGATTCTTTGTCGCTTTCGTTTAAAAATTAATTCGTTGGTATAATCGCCTTGCGGAACCGGGGCTACCAAGTGCCTTCCTTATCAGCGCATCCCTCCTCTTTACTCTAACGTCACGGGTGATTTAATGTAGAAGGTGTTATGGCAGGCTTCTCCTCCCATACACCGAGCCTGATTGGACCGGATGAGGAAATAAAAGAAAATACTGTGATTAGTAAGCTACTCTGCTGGAGTTTATCCTTCCAGCTATCGAAAAAAATTCACCGGTTCCTGGGTCCCTCAATATCTGTGCTTTTTTAACTGTTTGGTTTTTACAGTATTTCTCCGCGTTTCTGCCAACTCTATACGGTATGTCACCAATCACGAATCCTACCTTTGTCACGCAATTCAAATGCGCCGTTAGTACTGACTGGTATGTTCAAATCGATAAGAACACCACTTCAATCTTCGTCGCAGCCACATCACAATATGGATCACTTGGAGTCATTAATCCGCTAAATCGTGAGTATATATTGTTTGTGGGGGTTTTATAAAGTGGGCTCCAGTGTGGTTATCTTTTCTCCTCTAAAGTCGCAGGACACTTGTCTTCTGTTGTAGTTACAGTTCACCGAGCATATTCATAAGGTAAGTACGCTGAGCGAATGGGGGAGCTGTCTGCTACTGCTCACCTCTTTGACTAATACACTTGGCCGCATTTCTTTGGTGGCGAGTACAGGGCTGAAGGGGTAGAAGGCTTATACAAGCTGTTCATTTGCTAGTCACTTCTTTTTCGAGCCTCCTTGAATGAAACGAAGCAACAAGGAAGAGAGAATCTGAGATTTTGCAGAAGACATGGCAGCGAACGTGCTGTTCAACGTTGGAAGTACGAAGCTGTATGAGATCCTCACCGATGGTTTACCAGGAATTTACACACTTACGGTACTAGTATTTCCTTTTGATTCCTGTGTTACCTTGTGGTCTTAGTTAGCTTGTCTTTACAGTTGAGTTCTCCCGGCGCTTGCTACGTGCACGTCTACTCCTATGGAGGCGCCAAGGTCTACACAGAGTTCTCCATCACGACGGTTAGTGATCCTCTCGGATCGCATATCGACGGGCAACAGCCACATCCTGCTGTAGGAGGTAAACAAACTCGAACTCCCTTGGAGGCGGCGGGTGCTGACAACGTCACTGGCGGAAGGGCTGTGACAGAGCCCTACTCCGCCCCTCTTTCAGTGACCTTGGCAGCAACCCCCCCCCCCCCGCGCCCACTGCCTCTGAATTAGAAACAGAAGCAGTTCTGGTACGTGTGAGAGGAGGGAAAGATGGAAAAGTGAAGATGCATAGCCTATGTGTTTCAGTGCGCAATATCGCTACATTCCATCTCGAAGGGCGACCCGGTCAAGAGGGCAGTCTACAATATGTCGAGGCTTACAGTCACGACACACAAACGGTTAGTTCTTCTACTACTGGAAAAAAGTCTGACAACCGAATATTGCCGGTGTCACTACCATCAACAGTGGCCGTACAACTCACGTGTCCCTTTCACCGCGATAGTGTGAGAAGGACGAATACGCCACTTTCTGGTCAGAGTCGGTCACTCAAAGAATCCTTGCCACCAAGCTCGAAAAAAGCCTCAGACACTTTCTCAATAGACGTGGTATAGCTACGTCGCATCACATCCCAGTTAATTCCATCCGGCAATCGCTTTTCAGCAAGCTCGATAGATTGTCCTGCCTTCAGCCCCGACATGGTCGAACCTTACCTGTAGCTAATTAAATCAACGTTCTAAATTGCAATATATCAGTCCCTGAGTCTCAACAAACCCGTGGGTAAGCATGTCTGCCCAGGATATATTGCAATATACACCATTTTTACTTTAAATCGGACACTTTTCAAATCAAAAAAGACACTTTTTCATCAAATCGGACACAATGACTGGACCCTTACAATGGGCAGTTGAGAACTAGACACACTAGGTACTGCTGCAAGCCCCTCCCCAACACCCCGCCCACTTCTTAGCGCGGCCATGGTTTTCCAAAATGTTTTATGAATTCTGCTTCTTCGAATTTTTTTTTCACTTTTGCTACTTGACACACACATTCAACTGAATAGGTTTGCTACCGACACATATATGACTCCGCCCACTTCACAATGAAGTGACGTAAGTTCTGAATTTTTATAACTTTTTTTGACGTGTTTTTTCACATTCAATCTTCACAGAACGAATATAGTCATGCATTTACACACTAGCACACTAGCCCCGCCCCTCTGACCACGCCCACTTTCGTTTTTCGCGGAATTTTGATTTTTCTTCCGAATTTTCACTTTTTAGGCTGTGACAAGCGGCCCCGCCCACTAATGGAAGCTCCGCCCACTTTGTAGAAGCCCCGCCCACTTTTCAAAAAATGATGCAGATTGGCGAGCTAGTGACCGTACTGGCAGGTTATGGCCTCTCTCCGTCACATAGAATGAAAAAAAGGGAAAGACCAGAAAAAAAGGGAAACTTTGTTCCGGGTGACGGGAGAGGCCATAACCTGCTAGTACGGTCACTAGCTCGCCGATCTGCATCATTTTTGAAAAGTGGGCGGGGCTTCTACAAAGTGGGCGGAGCTTCCATTAGTGGGCGGGCCGCTCGCCTTAGCCTAAAAAAGTGAAACTTCAGAAGAAAAATAAAAATTCCGCGAAAAACGAAAGTGGGCGTGGTCAGAGGGGCGGGGCTTAGTATGCTAATGTGTAGATGCATGACTATATTCGACAGAAATTCAGAACTTACGTCACTTCATTGTGAAGTGGGCGGAGTCATAGTGTGGTTTAGTTCTCAACTGCCCATTGTAAGGGTGTGTCCGATTTGATTTGAAAAGTGTCCGATTTGATTTGAAAAGTGTCCGATTTGGTTTGAAAAGTGTCCGATTTGAAAGTGAAAATGGTATATCCTGAGCAGACATGCTTACCCACGGTTGGTTGGGACTCAGAGAGGAGAAACTTCTAGTGAGCTAACTGACGTTGAGTGAAAAGAAAGACTCGCTACTGCTGAAGCATTCAAAACTGGTTCGGCTATGCGAGCAATCAGAAATCGTGACAAATGGGGGGGGGGGGGAGGAGTAGAGAGAATCTTTAAAAGTCGTTGGAGTGTTGCGAGTGAAGTTGTAGAGAAGGTTCTCCTTCCTGGTAGCGCTTTCCATCCTCTCGGCTTTAACACGTTGAACAAAGCGCGTTTTTACTTTTTGACCGCGTGGGACACGCGCGCTTTCTTTGCGCCACAAGCGCGCCACAAGCGCGGTACTCATACAGTTCAGACCGTCCCACGAAGCGCTTTTGGAGATTGGATCGTAAAACCTGGTTTAGAGATCAATTGTGAGGTAAGTCAATTATTTACCATGGAAAAATCTGGGCTGGCCAACTCTCTTTGCACCAGGGCCAGGAATTTGTCTGTAACCTCACCACAGGAAATCTTTGCTAAACTTGTGTGTTCTACATTATTCCATGGACGACGTTGTACAAGTATACTAAGGACTGGCCTATAGAATGAATAGGAGAAACTAAACAAAAAATCTAACACTAGGGAAAGATATGGATTTGTTCATCGTGATTCAGATACAATTCGCGCGGTCCCACGTGGCCCACAACGCGCGCATTAAATGTGTATCACGCTGTCGTCAATGTGTTAAGAAGTAGCCATTGTTTCCCTCGGGCACGGTCTTGTTGGCTGCGGATGGTAGAACGTTTCAAGAGTGCTGGATTTGGCACTGTGCCTGCCCGTTCTCCACCAATAGGGGTCGCTTGTCAGCTTCCACAATTGGTGCCGAATAGTATGGCGCCACGCCTTACCCATCCCCTACCACCTTCTCTGGAAGGCCCTTGAGTCCGCTGCGAACAAGACTGCAGGCTGTTTTCATAGAACCAATTTTTCTAGCTCAGTCATTTCCAAGCTCAGTCCTTTACTTCAGATGGTTATGCGTTCGGAGCTCTATCAGCGTGGCCTGTGCTCTTTCGAGTACTATTCGGATCCGTTCCAGTGTCAGACAGAATCACTGGAATTTTCAATTTACGGAATTGATGAAAATAACCAACAGTTCCGAAGGATGGAACAGTTCTTCTGTATCGATCATGGACGCATAGGTCAGATTACTTCATTATTTAGTGAATAGCTGAGTAGAAATTGGTGTATCTGTGGTGGATTAGCTTCTCTCATTCACAATTGTCATGAACAATACATTTCAGTGACCACTGTGGCTCCAAATGTGACAGCTCCTGTAACGGTACCGGTTGTTCCCACAACACAGCCCATAATAACACCAACACAATCGTCACCTGTGGTTTCAACGTCACCAGGAGATCATCTGACCACAGCAGTGACCATGGCTCCTCCAACAGTATATCAGTTCGACATTCTCTTCCTTATCGACGTCAGTCAGGAAGCTCAAAATCGACTGGACGACGTGGGTTGCTTGATTTCGATGACAGGCTTTTTTCCATCATTCTTTGATGTGATCGCTGTTCGAGGCGGAAATATCTCGAGATTCCAGTGACTCAGATGTGGGGGATTTCAAGGCAAGTGGCAAGATAAATCCTCAAAAAATGTAGTGTTGATACGCCATGCAGGACAGAAGTGGTAGCCCTTGAGCAGACGTTGCGTGGCGCTTTTCAAAACAAGGGTACCCCTATCAAGCTGAATCACACCGACCCGAACGCCCACCGCGCCCGCCTGCCCACAAATGTCTGTCCGATGCTGATGCTCGTATCGCTTCATTCCCGTTGGTGCCAGCGGGAAACTCGTCCGAGATTGCCCCCAAAGGCGTGCAGAACAAAGGCGTTTTTGCAGCTTTTTGACCGTTTCACGTCGCTCTTTTTCCCATTATTTAACACATTTTGGACCGAGTACCAAATATTGCGCCTCGTGTCTGCAAGAAGGTTCAGATATGGATTATATTACATAGAGTCTAGTTGACATCGGTGAGACAAAGCAGTTAAACTGCTCAGAACTGCCTATATCGGATACTGGGTTAAGTTCAGCACCGGACGAGCTTCAACAGAGACGCAAAGACAGTAGGCTGGAGAGCAGACAAGCATGGGCGAGAGTTACGCGGTGGTATAGACCAGGGCTAAGGAAATCGACCCTGATGCCAGGCGGCAGTCGTACTTCACGGGTAACCATACTTGATTTTGTTGGAGTTCTCTAACATTTGGAAACCGCTAGCACAGTCCCTTCATTTCAGGGCAGCGAAAGTGGCAGTCTGCGAAGGGCTGTTCTTCTGTAGTTTGCGCTCCTTATAAGAGAGGGAGAATAGCTACTTTCAGGTGGTTACGGAACCAGAATTTAGGAATGGGAGATGCTGTGGGTCTTCCGAAACGGGTGACTTAAAGAATGCCATTCTGGTATGAGCAGTGCTCTTAAGTGATGAAGAGCCCAGTTCAGTGTGGAATTAGCCCACATTCTCAAATCTGGACACACCTATGAGGATCTTTAGAAACCATTGCTTATAGAAACCCAGAGGAGAGCGCAAAGGTTCGCGGAGGACCATTTATTAAAACTGAATATAATCAAACGCTTCAGATGAACAGCTTCGTAACATTATTGATGTCGGGTTACGACGTCTCTCAGCAGAACGCCCGTGTGGCATTGATGGCGGTCGGAAGTGGTGCGTTGGGTGCGATCCCACTGGCGAACTTCAACACCATCAGTTCATATCAGAATCTGCTCAATTACGTCAACACAGTGAGCACGTACACAGACTTCGGAGATCCTGGGCAGGCGCTTGGACAGTGAGTCTTTTGAGCAGAATGCCTTAATAACATAGTTTTTTTGCTTACCTATTTTGTATTTCCTTCACAGAATAGTTTCTGTGGGCGTTACCAAAGTGACCTAGAGAAAGAGACCGCCTGAGGAGGCTGGTATTAGAGGGCTGAATGAAGAATCAAATAGTGTTCCCAGTTCAGTTTGCTTCCGATGCGCTATAGACGCGCTCCATCAAAGTCGAGGTTCAGTCGTTTTCGCTGCAGACACGGGGCGTGTCAGGGGCTGTGGGTTCCACTTGGCGTCAACCCGTTCTCCATCAAATGTTGAAGCGGGTAAGCGACAACAGTTGATTAGAAACGGGTTGGCGCGGTGTCAAATTCAAGCCCCCCGACACCCCCAGCATGCGCAGCAAAAACAAGTGTAATATGTAGTCGTGGTTGAAAAATATTCTCTAAAATAGTTTTTCATGTATAACTTTTTCTTACAAGACCAATTCTTTTTTAAAATTTGATAAATTATAACTGTTAACGTGGAGAGATATTACCAACTTTTTCGTTCGAGTGAGGTGCGTGATGTTCACTTTCTGCTGTAACAACTGTTTGCAGTGTCCACAAGGCTACAGTGGCGCTCTTTTCGGGGGTCTCTTTCGTTGTCGTAATCTCTTTTGAGGGGATTCCGATATGCAACCAGGTGCCAGAACGAAATACTGACTTTCTGATAATGCAAAAGGGAACTGAGTCCTTGAGAACCGGAAAGCTGGCAAGAGTATGAAAGAATCCGACAAAAAGGTTTGAGCCATTCCAACGGCTTCAAAGGTTTCCGGAACGCACCTTGACATTGGTTTTCGATGGATTTCGCAGAACGATAGCCTAGAAAACAATCTCGGAAACGTTCAAAAATCGTAGGATTGCTTTCGACATCGGTTCGCTGGGACAAATGAACTCTTCGATGCTCTGGAGGTGATCTGGACTAGACTTTCACATCTTAACCAGAATCAATAATATATATGAACTAAATCTAAGAGAGCAGATAGCTATGAAATCGCATAGCTATAAAATCACTGAAATCATCAATCAATCGTTCAGGACGTGGAGCGCTTTTGGACAACGGTTTTTTGCATGATCACGTTTCTCATTGCCAAGAACTCAATTTCCCACTGCACTGTGTATAAAATGTTCCACTATTATTTCGTTTTAATACCGAGAAGCAATGTCGAAAACCCTTCAAAGTCGAAATATTCTGAGATTAGTGTAGTTCTGCAAACACCCCATACTAATTTTGCAGAGAAAAGTAAACAACGGCACCTCATTCGAGCGCAAGGGCTGGTATTCATTTCCAAGACTGAAAGGTACATAACACAACTTAAAAACCAGCCAGTTAAGTGAGGAAAAATTATACATGAACTACCGTTTTGGCCTTACCCCTTCTCTCTCCCCCCCCCCCCTCTGCTTCTGCCTTTGACCGCTACTTATTCGCTGCGGCTGCTGTTCATTCATTCAATTCAATGTTACAATCTCGTGAGTGATCAAAGTGAGCATGCTTTATGCTGGTTTAGCTACCCAATTTTCAGGTGCTTTTATCACCCTGTGTTACAGGCCCCTTGATAGTGCATCAAGCCTCTGTCCATGAACCTACAATCTAATAGTCCCGCAAGTCGCTGTATAGGCCATCTCACAATCGTTGTTTCAAGACTCATTCTGATTCTGAGAGGACTTAGAATCCGAAAAAGAAGTTGATCATTGTTGAAAGGTTCATCCTTTGTACGAACATTGGATTTGTTGCTTTGCAGGGCTTTGAACATCGCAGTGAATAACGACTTCATGCAGTCCGGATATCGTACCAACCTCAAGAATCATGTGATTGTTTACGTCACAGCTACTAGCAAGTAAGTCACTAAGCAGCAAAGTAGGAGCTACTCATTTTCTCCTAATAGAAATTTAAAAAAATCGAAAATCAAGGGCTTGGCTGCAGTCATAATGGGACCCCAAGCGAATTAATCAGGCCAAATGGTTTTGCCTCAACTCGAAATGGGTGCCAAATATACCGTAGCTGGGAGAACCTCGAGTCGGACTTCTGAGAACCTCTTTGAATCTTGGGTAAAAACTTTGCTGCCCCTGAAAGAATATTAAGGATCTACTACCTGCCAACTACAATTGATATCGTAGTAAACACACGTGTCGATGTCAAGAGAGAGCCCACCCGAGGTGCTTCCACTACTTGTCCTTATACTTTCACTAGCCGATCCCTATTGGTTTCCCTGGGACCGCGTCGAACTCAGCCCCTGCCACTCCACAGCGCTTGCAGCAGACAAGACTGTACTGTTATGAGCAATGTGGAAGCTGCTAAGGTATCACACGGTATAATGAAGTGAAGACTTCCAGATGTCAGGTCCCAAGCAAATGTTGCTTCAGCTAATGGTCATCATGCCTTTACTGGATAGTATTTCGACTAATAATGGTTTTTCTACAGATTCGACGACCAACCACAACCACTTGCTCAAAAGATCCGTAGTGCCGGTAGCTACGGTATCATTACCGTCGGGTACGGACCACTTGTGACCGATCCAAATGCCCTTCAGGTCAGACTTTAAAATTTTTCCGCGTTTTCATTAGGAAAAAAATGCCTTTCTGCCCCTGTGACTGCAGGGGTTCGGGTGTGCCCGCAAAGATGAAATAGTCAGATAGGACCGCAGGTTCATGTCTTTATGAACCGTGTAGGTGTCAAAGGTCCCACTCCATAGAAGGGTTCATTGATCTGACGATTGTGAGCCATCAGGCAATGTCTTCTTGCTTCATCTTTGAGACAGTTCACGCTGACCTTACGGGCGGAGACAGGGAGCTATTGCGCCTTGCTCATATGTGCATTTGTTTTTCTAGGCCCGTAAAGTGGTCTGCTCCTCTCAATATGCTTAGCGGGGACTGGTAGTTTACTTGCTCCTTACGATACTGGCTTAGCTTCGTTTAGCATTCGTTCTTACGAAAATGTCACTGTGGAAAGGGAAAGGACCTGCCGATGGAAAATCTTGCAAAATTCAAGCTCATTCGGAACTTCCCCGTTTGGTACAACCACCTGCACACCCTTCCCCCATCTCGTGCTACTTACCATCCTCCAAAATTCTCTCACCTTCCTGTCACTGTTACAGTATATTTTTTTCTCAAATTTCCGGGACTTCCACTACATTTCCTCGAAAATGCTGTCATCGAGCGTAGGGGAGGACAGACCCTCCCGCTGAGACATACCACGAATATAAAACTACCTTCATCTTCTCTTGATGGGGATTGCCCAACGGCGGAGTTGCCTCTGCGTTTATGGGACACCTGGTCGCTCATTGCAAGATCCTCTATTGTAACATTGATGCCATACATGATGGCCAGTAGCGCCTAACTTATTGAGTTAGGTTTTTAATGGCGTGCAAATCTTTGATCCATGCCTGGCACACACAATTCCTTTGAAGGATTTGAAAGAAAGCAGAGTATGCCTGAGAAGTTTGTTGCGCAGGACTGCTTTTAGACTCTGCAGTTTTTGTGGTGGAAAAACTTTTTTCAGGGCATCTCTGGTGGAGCCAGCTGCTCCTTTATCGCGAACGATTCACCGGGACTCATGGACCAGGTTGCTGCGGTGAAGCTGCTCATCAACAAGGCTGAGTAAGTTCTCCTCCAGTTCAACCGAGCTCTTCAGATTGTAAAAGTGGTTTGTGACATGGGCGAGAGCTGCGAAGTGATGTCGCTAGCTTGAGACGCATTTGCTCTACCGAATTTTTTACGTGAAAAAGGTATACTTCCCTCTATCGTGAGCAGAAATGCGTCACTGTAATACTGAAAATGAAGTTTTTGTTGCAATTCATGCCCTCAGAGAAAATACGAGCATTAATCCTTTCTTTTTTCCATGCTTCTCCTTTCCAGCACGAATGGTGGAAAATACTGCTAGACTAGCGGCCGTCGATGAAGAAGATTTTCTATGTCATTAGATCTAATAAAGTTTTATTCTATTTTCTGCGTTAGCGGTCTCAATTTTCGAAGACTTCCTCTACACTCCACTATTACATATGATTACAAGGGTTTCTCCGCAAAATTTAAGTTTGCGGTTATGGATGAGGTTTTTACAAGGGCTTTCCACTCCCTAACTGCTATAAATATGAGATCACCAAGAGCCTCACGTCATATAAGGTCGTGGAACAGCCCATGAGCCCATCCTCAGGAACCCCTGCTCTAGTGAAGCCGTCAGTTGATCCGCACATTGCCCACTCTGCAGCACGGCCAGCCGCACCCAAAACCTCTATCCAAATCCAGTGCTTGCCTGCGCTATCTCACTTCTAGCTGTCCTCCATCGCTGAGTGCGTATTTCGCTGCAGGAGCTTGGCAAGATGCCTACGGGAAACTCTTCCAAAATCGCCAAGAACGAAGGCTCTTCTTCCCAGGTTTTTGACCGTTTTACTTAGTATTTTTTTGCTATTTCCCCCCCCCCCCCCCCCATTATTATGTGGCACCTTCTAGCATTTCAGACAGAGTAGTAATTGTCGTGCCATATGCCTTTAAGTCACCTTCGCGTGAAGAACTGCCTCCCACGTAGGGGGGGTACGCTCCTTGTGAGAGGCAGTTCTTCATTTCAGTTCACATTTCGAAACAAAGCAAACCTTCAGAGGAGCAACAAGCTGTTTCTTTCCATCGGATCGTTTTTCTTTGGCTTTTGTATGGGAACTCTACCTCCATAGATGAAGCATGCCAGGAAAATCTATTTCTAAAGCAGCGGAAAAGAGTCCAAACAAACGCCGAAGTACGAGAACAACTGATTTTGTCACGACAAAGATGATGAAGGGGCAAAACTCGGCACTTACACTTTATTGGGCATCTACTAGTACTTGAAAACCATAAGCCTGCATAAGAAAGCCCTTTGGCTCAAGCAGCTCATCACGTACTAGGGTTAGAGTCGTACCTCTACATTGGTGAAAATTCCCTGTGGGGAAGCTCTTGAGTTTCTAGAGCCTTTGGTTGGTGGAAGAGAGTTCAGATAGATGATTTTGTTTGAAGCCGAAAACTTACCCAATGCCGGCGCACTGCCCCTCCCACCCCCCCCCCCCTCCCCACCGCGGGTGCGAACTTCGGTAAGGACAATTTCCATTAAAGGCAGTTGGCACGATAATCGCTATACAGGTGTAGGATTTGTACAACTGGCTTAACAGAATTCCGTGACCTCGGACAGGCGCTGCGTGAAGCCTTTTCCAAGGAGGGTACCTCTATAACGCCCTATTGAGCAACAACTTTACGTCCCAAACGCCTTCCTTGCCCGCCCGCCCACAAACGGACGACCGTTTCCTGACTATTCATTCATTTGCTGAGCAAATTATAAAGCAAAGGGATTGGTATGAAGCGGCGGTGATGCTGCATGCATATATGGGTACACATATGCAGCCGTATCTCGCGTAGCGGTGATTGGGTAAGATGGCGCCTTACGGGAAACTCGTCCGAAATCGATTTACAAGTCACTGAGAACGGAGGCTTTTTCTTCGCCGGATTTTGACCGTTTCACTCCGTTCTTTCGCCATTTCCCCACTATAGCGCCCTACTAGCATTTTAGGCTAAGTAGGAAACCATCGTGCCAACTGCCTTTAAATCTCTGAAAATCTATTTGGAAGGGGCGGGTATACATGTGCCTTAGTTCGTGGTTGTATGTTATTGGGACGATCTTTATAACAGTGAGAATTTTCCACTGTGGAATCAACTCACTGTGAGGATGCCTCGCTCGTTTGAACAGCGAATCCGCCCAAAGCCAAAATTGAGCAATGGCAACCAATTGCTAAGGGACACGCTCCGCCTGCTGTAGATGGGCCCTGGCAGACATCTAGTACATCCAGCGTACACAGGATCTTCTTCACGGAAGTTTGCCCCTTTCTCTAGAGCGCTTCCAAGTGTTTCGGAACCATGATAAATTTCCTGGAGCGAGCGCTGCCCTGTCGCTGTACACCTTCCCCTCCGCGTGTGACTCTGCCTTATTTCAATGGCCGACCCCTTTCTCACCTTCGTCTTTTTTCCCATCCCGTCACTCACCTCTAGGCCTTCGGTGGCTTTTTGTGCTTGGCCGTCGGAGAGACTGTTCCCATACTGTCCCTTTATTGGTTGCGACCAAACACACAGTCAACTTCTCCTTTATTACAAGATCTTAATTCATGCGGACCGGTGGGGGGCGTGTCAGCTAGTATTAGTGTGCACACTGTTGAAGCCGTTCTCAGCCTCTTTGTTGTAAGGCGTATGCGACAAAAAGTGGTAGAAAACGAGTAATACGAAGGATATGATACAGTAATGTCACGTCCCCGTCTCAACACAACAACAGAACGACTTTTTCACCGCGCCAAACGCAGCCGCATTGACATGCCCCACCTGTCCGCAATGATGAGGACTGTATATAGAGTACGGTTACACGAGAAGGTTTTGATGCATATTTGAAGCATCAGGTACGACAGTTTTGGGGTGTAGAGTGTCCTAAGTGGCTGAGTGGTAAGGTAATAGAATACCAAGACGGTTACTAAGAAATGACGCCTTTCTATACTGGCGGAGTATCATGATAGCATACAATATGCTGTTGAATAGGGTGGTGGAAATGTCCTATCAGAATTTAATAAAGTGTAAACTTATAGCGCCTTGAAAGTCAAGGAAGATATAATAATTGTCTTCATTTTTGGCTCTGTATAGTGAGTAAATGGAGAAGAAGCGAAATGAGCCGGTCAAAAACCTGCGAAAAAAAATCCTATTTCTAGCCGATTTGGCAAGCAATTTCGG